AGATGCGATTGGACAGCTGCTGCGTCAATGATAAGATTTTTATTATTTCATCAGTTATTAGCCAATCTGAGTTCCTGCCATATACTGATGACGAGAAAAGCCATTGAAAATTACTGCCTTCGCCGTGACATCTTTTTAGATATGATAAGGATAGTGTTTGTATCAAAAGGAGCTGCAGATGTATTTGTTCATAACACAAAGGGCGATGCGCTGTTCAAACCGAAGGCCGTGTGCTCCGCTTTTGGGAAGGGCTCGAAAAACGCAATCAGCATGTGACTTAATTAACTTTCCCTTTGACTGAGTTGAAACCTCTTAGGGCACCGCCTTCGTAGCGCGATTTCATATTACCAGAGGATTTAAGTATACTATTGTGCGTATCCTTCGGGCTTTGCCAGAGGCAGCGAACGAATGCAAAAACTTCAAATCAAGCCGCGTCAAGTGTACGGCTTATGTTTTGAGGGAACTCAAAGCCGGATATTATAAGTGTACTTCAACCTAGGCTCGAACTTTACCTGTATATAAGCAGAGTCAGTCTGAAGATTACTTAAAAAAATCTTTTTAGTAGAAAGCTGTCATGTGAGCTGAGTTAGAAACAGTACGTGGGATCCAATGTTATTCACTGTATAAGTTGATTTCCTAATCCCTTGTAAATGTCCTGCAATACTCTTAATACAGCTTTTAAGAACGCAGTCTTTAATTGTATGACCGTCACGTTCGCATGATATTCAAATTTTTGATCGTGCATAAATATAAAAAACGGCACACATAAAAAGTAACCATGCATTAAAATTGTACTAAAATTATCTCACAGAGACCTGAACAGCTACGGTAGGCTTAACACTTCTCGAAGTTCCATCTCCATAATAGCTTAGTATACAACATATATGCCTGATAATTTAGGGACACGTTGTGGTAGGTTCGAACCTGGGTATGGACGTACGTCTTCCTGTGCCTGCCATTCTAACAGAATGACTAACGGCGATGCTGAACGTAAAATTCAAAACATAAAATCTTAGCACTTCATCAAAGAAAAACTTTAAATTGCTATGGCCTCGTAATAGATTTTAAACGTACGGGAAATTGATTCATCACTAACATTAAAATTAAGGCTCTTATTTTGATTCTTTCCTGTAACGTTAGAGATACAGCTACCCACCTGACGCAGATTTTCTCACCGTAAACATTTCCTGATAGATACATGATATATGCGTATCATCGATTAGATCCATTACAATAGCCGCCGTAAGCATTTTTAATGGCTACTTCGAGTCGAAAACGCTATTGCAGTTATCGAGCTGTTGATTGCAGTTCGTATACGGTCTAGGACAAAATCCTTGACAGTTTTAGGGTTTCCACTTTATATTTGTGCAATTTATGTGTCCGTCAACATTTATATATAAATGGGTTGGTCCTTTGGGTCGTCACTTCGCTGCATTCGATGAGTTTGTTTCGCCACGCGGGGTGCAACTAACTGGATTGTTCGCAATGCAATAAAGAATAAATATGTCGAGTTTCTAAAAACTTTGCTTGTACGGATATTTGACAGTAGTTCAAGTTTTTTCACCAGTGGAACAAGATTAGAGCTGATGCCACTTAATAAATTATCTGACGAGACTAGTACTTGTAGAAAATTAACTTCAAGTTCAATTAAGTAATAATCTCAGAAGTATCCAGTCAGTCACGGTCGGCCTGCCTTCTCTGGATTTTGACTTGTACACTTAATAATGTTTGTTTCTAATTCGCTTTATTGATTGACAAGTGATAATCCACTTCTTAGTCACAAGTATGCGTCACTGATTTGTGCTACCATTTCGGTCGATATGCATAAAAGTAATACGCAACATAAATGCTTTATGACGAAGAGCTTGCAATTAAAACTTGATTGTTAAATTGGCTAAACTAATGGCTAGATTGCTTCATACTAAGAAAGTTTTTTCCGTTCAAAATTGCTTACGGGCATCCAGAGCTTCGTCTGCTATAGATAGTAATGGAAACTTAGGCCAATGTCTTTCTTTTGCACGGTCGGACCATCGCCATACGCTTTAGAAGCTTTCTGGGGGACACACGTACCCATACACACTTCGACATCGTACTAACTTCAGCGTAGACATCGGCGTATTCATCCGTTAAAAGCCTTGTGCTGAGAGTGCACTTGTGCGCGGTCACAAGAACTAAATTGTCCGACTGGCGCAGGACGCCGAACACGTGCTGCGCACATCGAAGTTCGTTTATTGTCGCTCAGCTGATGAGAACGAAAACGAAGGTGAAATAATGTTTCGTGAAGGCAGTGGCGTGGCATGCAGTTCTTAAGGAAAGTGACAAGAGAGAACGATGCCATGCCATCTTACAAAGGCCAGACAAGGACAACGAGGGATCCAAGCTTTTCACGGACAATTTCCGTCCAGTCTATATAATCGTCGCTGGCTAGGTTGGCATCTATCAAATAGCAGTGGGCGGTTGCACCAACGTTGTTGTTGGTCCTGGTTGGCGAAACAGGAAACTGAGGGGAACGTTAATAACCCGGACAATCACAAACGATCATTAATCCCAATACTTTTCTCAATCGTTTTTCTATTGCTTTGTGCTTGTTGCGGCGCTTCTAGCACCGTGCTTCTTCATACACCTGTCGTACACGTTCTTTTTAATATACGACTCATCCCATACAGCACGGACCTACGCCCACAGACCTACGCCTTGTCGCCCCTTTAAGATATACCCTATTCAAAATCCTTTCCATCAGAGTATTCGCTCGACTTTTGTCGAAGCTGTTTTTGTGGTTGGACCCATGTACCAGCCAACTTGCCTTTCATTTCAGGGGGGAGGGGGATAGGGGTCTCTTTCGGAAGTAGCAACGGAATCGGATGTGAGAAAAAGACTCATTCGAGAGGGAACCGCAGTCAGCTCTGAAAGGAAACACATCAGCATCATTACGGCTAACATCATTAGCATCATCGCTGAAGCTCCAAAGGGTACGCGGCACACTAACAATCTCTGCCCGCCTAATCCAGCCCACCTCCAACAACGCTAACATCTGAGCTCGTCGCTGTGTCGGTACTCGTTTGTGTGTATGTTATACTGAATCTGTACACTTCGGTGCAGTGTTACGGTTCCCGCTAGCTATTACCTAGCTGCTGCACATGTTTGTGTCCTATGCATCTGTAAGTGGGTTCGTTGCGGTGCTGTGTTCCCACAAAGGAAGAGTTTGGCCTCGCCTGCCTACTGCCTCGCGATCTGTCCCGTTTCGTTCCAGGGCGGGCTTACGGGCAGCTGGATGGGCTGCTACCGTCGACGGTTCAAGTATCTTTTCTAGGGACGGAAGCGAAAACCTAACGAAGTCCGTTTTTTCCTGACTGTTAGAAGGTTTCGGCCAAGCAGCTAGTCAACGAACCGCCTTCACCGGCTTTTAGTCAATGGGTAGCCTCAGTATAGTAGATTACACCATAGTAGTGGCTTATTGGTACTTAGATAGCTAGCAAAAATTGGCAGGCTGGCAAGAGGCAACTGACAGGACAGGACGCAAATGTGTTGCCGACTGGCGGAAACTGGGCTGTGCTAGTACAAAGTCTCTAGCTAGCAGCTCAACGAAGGGTACTTGCGACGACGACGTTGCGGCATGTTACCTACAATCTACCGACACAGAAAGAGGGGGCAGGATGGATGCAACGAACGACGAAAAAGGAAAGAATGATAGAACAGTTAAAGAGACGCTTTTGTGGGGACAACGCCTGGAGACATAGTGGCACAGGTGATAGGGCAAATTTTGCCGGAGCTTCAGTATAATAGTAAGCTCTGACGAACGAAAGAGAGGAACGCCAGGAACAGAGGCAGTTCAGCATGAAAGGTGCAGTGTAGGAACAGGGTGGCGGCAGCGTAAAAAATATGCCTATTTCTGTAGCAGCGAACAAGGATTAGAGCCGAAAATATGTAGACCAAACGTCGCCGAGTCAGAACTAGCTGCGTGGCGCACGATGGCTTCTGTCAGATGCACGATAGGTGAACGAAGCGACTATGCGAAGGCCAGCAGCGGGTGAGTAACAAAGATGGCAGGAATAGCGGCAGAGAGAGTAAAACCCACAGTACTATGGCTGAAGTAGTCGCAACAATAAGAAAGAAAGTGCATAAGGAAATGAGAAGACTCCAGCATGTTCATGCATTATACAAGATTACCATCCGCAATGTATATAGCGTTGCGCCAAAAATATTCACTAGGTGAATCTTTGGAAAGTCACATTCTAAAAATAAACTGGGTCAGAATAGGGAAAATGAGGCACGTCGTGGGGATCCTAAGTGAGAAAGGGCAGAACAGTGATAAATCATGAAGGTTTCGAGGAGGAGAAATATATGCGAGGCCGAAGCGACGTGGGTTGAAACTCGTACGTAGCTAGAAGCACAGGCCAGTTCACGGAAAAATCTGTAGCATCGAGAGATGGACGGTTTGGATAAAACGACACATCTGCCGTATGAATCGGCGAGCAGGATGCATATGTCGACAATGGTGAAATGCTACTTCATGGCCAATGATGGGACTATCGTCAATCTGCATCTAATCTCTTTGAAATATTATCGTCATATCCGCAGTTGAGTACAGAGAGGAAACTAGTGCCGATTACATGAAGAACACATACGTAAAGAAAGTTACAGTTACGCCAGTTTGTTGACTTCGTCTTACACTTCAGTGTAACATCGGTGGAAGGGTCAGTGGTTTCGTTACATAATATGTTTAGATAATTTGTAACAATATATTTAGATGAGATATTTAGCTAAAAACAAGTGTAGAAATTATAATCGACAGATATCGCAAAGGACTTTCGAAAACTTGAAGGGTTTTGCTAATGTTTCATCACCGTGGCTCCCATGATGTACGCGTAAGTATGGCAAAATTTTTCAGTTTTGTCACAACGTTATTTTCCTTCGAATAACCTAATAATAAATACACACTAGACACTATCGACCACTGATCACAACAAGCAATGCAAATAAATACATATTGAAAAGAAATATTTTATTGTAAAAGATAAATAACTAAAAAATAACAGATAGCTCAGAAATCAGAGTGGCAGCTGTTGCCCGCTGTATGAAACTACACAATGGCGTAGTTGAGGTACTGAAGCTCCGTAAATAAGCTCCGTAAACTCCGTAAATAAATACGTATAGAAGACCCTGAAAACAAACAATTCGATAAGAATATCATTGAATGGCTATTCAGACTAACGAACAATCTAGAATAATGAAGCATCGAACCAGAGAGGCCGAGAACATGTACCATTGACCAAAACAATTGATTGATTCTTGTCTCGCTACCGCCTGCCAATATCAAATTATTTATCTATGTTATCTCTATTTGAAATAGTCATATTGAAAACAGAATTATATATATATATATATGATGTCGAAATATTCGAGCAGCATAATTACTAGTACAGAGCGATAAATAAACGAAAGTAACGCCACAATTTTTTAGCAAGGCGTGACACAGCCAAACTGGCCGATCTTTGTGAAGGCTCTTCGAAATTAGTTAATAGGCGAATTGTGGATCGTGGGGCTGGGTCCCTTCTAAGGACTTCTAAGGTGCGAACACCTTACCATTGAATAGTGCATAAATAATCATCATGGTTTTCCAATTTTTACTTAGAATTACCATTTTTTTACGTTCGATAATGATAACGAGGAGATGATTCTTGAGAAACAAGCTCATCTAAATGTGTTTTATATATAAAAAGTTTTAATAGTAAACAAATTAATGAGGAGGGTAATCGTAGCGTTGAATCGGAAAATGTGTCCTTTTGAATCTGCTCCTGAGCTGTCAGACAATGACGCTGACAATCACGAGGAATTAGGTCTGTTCAATTTGTTCAAAGCAGAGCTTAGCAGCTTGCCTATCATTACTCGTCCAGGAGAATATGGGAGCAGAATTTAAAATTTACTTTATTAAAGATGCCCGCTCCGTTATCGATCTTCGTGTTTCAAGTAATTGATTTGGCATGTTATGACAATCTGCTATTGCCGATGGGGACCAAGAGCGTTTTCTCCAAGCCACAATTTCGGTGCGCGTCACGTATTGTCTTAAATGTGGGGGTCATTTTTCCTGTACATTAGCCGTGAACCAAACGATGGAATTATTTAGCACCTGACAGCACAAAAGGTAAGCATTAGCGTGTGTAATGCAGACTGAAACGCAGGCCAATATAGTCATCTCGGCTCTGAGATTTTTGTTGTGAAGTTGTCATTTGGTCCAGTGACTCGTGAGGATGTGACTTATCCCTAATACAATTTTCATCTTGTTCTTGCATTACGAGGACTTGTTTCGTCTGTATTCAGGTGCCTTCACACTTTCTCATTTATACTTTTTCCGCGTACTTTTTCTACCAACTTGTACATTCTTGCTTCGCTTTTTTCCGTCGTTTACCTCCTCTCGTCTAGGGTATCCGTTGAGAAGCACCGATGTCGCCGTTGCCCTTACAGGCAAAGCCGGCTGACGCTATCAACAAAGTTTCCCAGTCAAGGGTCACTACTGAGGTCTGTTTTTTGTGCATTGCCCCGTCCCTTTTCCGGCTGTTTGTAGAACTACTGCAGCAATACTAACAGCAGAAGCGATGACGCTGGCAGTCGCCAGCTTCTATGCATAAGTAGGTAAGGCTAACAAGTGCGACGAAGACGTCGCCACGTTGCTCGGGGCCTAACTAAAGGAAACGGACCGCAGTAGTTAGCAGCCGCGGCCAGCGTTACTAAAAGGTAGTTTGTATTCTAAACATTATCAACCGGGAAACACACAGCCCAAGCGTAAGTAAGTAAGTAAGGCAAAAGTACGAACAGTGTGAGAGACCGAGGTATGCTGAAGTGGGAGAGCGGGGAAGGTTAGACGCTACAGGCTTAAGTGGACCGTACCAAAATCGGTCAGCGACTGGTCAACGGACAAACAAATCAGGAACCTAGAGTAACCAGGATGTAACTGGAATTTGATAGAAAAAGAACGGTTACTTTGATTAGAAGAGAGTTAGTAGAGGCAACTAGATTGAATCGTCGTCCTATGCTACGACTAGTATTGGCACCATGCAGTTGACCCCCCCCGGCTTGATAGTATACATTAGCCGCAGCCTCGCCTTCGCAGCTACTTAGTAGGTACTCCATTCCGCTCTCTAATCTTCGAAGGAACAGAGCCTACGAGATGACGGTTTTGGCTGATGCCGAACGCTTGTTACGGGACCACCGGCCGGGGGTGCAGGAGCGTGTTTGGAATAGGACGATCCAAGAGGCCCAGTACCTAGTCCAGCATTGCAACGCTAAGGTCGTCTTTGTATCCCGCTTATCGCTGCTGTACGGCTGGAAGAAAGAAGAAAAACGAATTGACACAATTTAGTGGAGAATGTGTCACGCGAAAGCTGTGTATCGGCTATGTTGGTTTGTAAGCACGTACACTAAAATGCGCAAGGAAGTAACATAAGGATGCATTAGAATAGAAAAGGTGACGCGTTCTTGATGGTAATTCAATTGAGGTTAAAGCAAATATTGTTCGTTACATAGCCAGACTATCATCCCTTTTGCATAGCGACATTTATTTAGCGTTTTATAAGGCCTGCCGTGTTTTTTTTAATGCCCGCAATCTCTGCAACACGCATCCTATAAACAAAAAAAGAAGTGGTAACTGCAGATCAGATTAAAAACACTCGTTATAATTAGCACCAGTTTAGTATTAGTTGCACAGCTCTAGTTTCGTGTAGTATCCAGAACCAATTGCAGACATTTTGAACTATTGCCAGTCATGCCTTTAACTAGATTTTCGAGAGTAAGCTGTGACCGCCGCTGTCTGGATCCGCTGACACTGAACGCGCCAATATTTTCCAATATACGGTCGTAATAGTTAGCGCTTATCGGTATAAGTACATAGTTAGTTACATTTGACCTCTCTGCAAAAGACGCGAGCGACTTATTAAGTATTTCGACAATACAAGCCAGCCACTAAAATTCTCTTTGCGTTTCGCCATCGTTACTATTAAATGGTTGATTTTATAAAAATGTAATTTTCTTGGCCTGAGGAAAAGATGTGCTTCGCTTGTTGCTCCGTAGGTGCTGATGCTAGCAGAAGTCTCTGAATGAAGAGAAGAAATTGTCCCAATTAGATTGAACGTGTATTTCAACAGAACGGAAGTGTCCCGCCGATAGTTTAGATTGAACAATGAAATTAATTAACTTTACGATAGCTGGGGTCACTCGCAAGTTACTTGATTCATTGTAAGTAATAATGAAAGCGCTGTGCATATTGATGCTAGGATAAGCACATTATCTGCTATTGTCTGTAAGTGTGATTTTTCATGAGGTAAATTGAAGCAGGAATTCAGGCTGCGTATTCATGAAGTATACGAACTAATCTTAGGCTACACGCCTTCTTAACGGGTGCTGATCAATGCGGACGACACACGCGTAGTTTTTTGGTGCGACAGCTTAATAGGACAGAAGATTTTACCATTGGCTTTTCCATTATCAAAAGACAATTAGCTTATATACCGTTCAAGAGAAAACAACAAGTCCAGACTATAATTTATTTCTTTTTGCTTCCTCTTCCTTCTTCCAATATCTATCCACTCTCATTGCAACATTTGATTAAGTCGTAGGTGTTTATTGGGGTAGATAGTAGCATGTATACCTCATTACCCAATACAACGAGGATAAACCTCATGCAGATTATAGGTAATGTGGTTTATTGCTCGAGAGCCTGTTGATCTAGTCAGTATTGTAAACTTCATACCAGTTCTACTTCGTAGAAATCATCGAATTAATCATTTTCATGGTAAATATATATAGCATTGCATGAAATAAAATTATAACTAATGCCTTGCGCATTCGATAAACTCGGCGTTCCTTCTTATTCACTGATATGTGCGCTATATAATTAGACGTTTTCATCCCGCTGCGCGACCCCCTTTATATGGGTAAAGGCGTTAATAAATTTAATACTGAGACAATACACCGGGATTATTCCAAGCACGTGTTATTTCCTAAAATTCAAAATGAATCCTTTCAATATCCGAGCCCACTTTCTACAGGGAACCGCCTTTTATCACACAGATGGCGCCTTCGGCCACACCCTGTCCTGTTAAATAACAACGGTTAAACATCCTCTGGGACCCATCCTCATTGATGCTGGGCATTTGAGCATTAGACGCGTATCATTAGTACGGTATAAGTACTACATATGCATCAAAACGTGTAAAGAAATAAGCCGGCAGTAGCTCAAGCCGTCGTTAGGGTAAAGTAAGCACAAGACCAATTTGGACTTTATACCTACTGAAAGTAGTTTTTTTTTTTTATTGAGGTTGCTAATATAATTATAGAGAAGAAGCTTCCTGGCTAATTGAGTTAATATAAGAATAATTATACCATAATTAACCGAGAATTTGGCTGGGCCTGTACTAAGGTTGACCAGCAAAGGTTATTTCGCCAGAAACCTACGGGTACCTTTCGGGGTCTGCATAAAAGAGTATCTAATTCATAAAAGTAAAAAAGTATAAACGGCCAGCGCCGACAACTGGCGTACTCATATGGCATGCGTGCAATCGAAGCATGCATAAAAACAATGCCCAATACCTTTCCCCATTCGGCTCAACTTGGCATATTGACAAAGCATAATAAAAACAACCTTAAATATTTCTCTCTCTCTCTCCCCCTCGCTCCCTCCTTCTCTCTCGCCTAATATATATATATATATAAATATAAAATTCTTAAGTTACTTGGATGCAAGTATCTATCGGCGCTAAATTTATGGGTGAACAACCCTACAGCCATTCAGTATTAGATTTATATTTCACCGCTTTTCTCTCTCAATTACGTTTTACTAACTACCTCACAGCCCTTTACGAGTCGCTATTTGCTAACACATTTCAACGGATGCATTGCTTGGGTTTGAAAATGTAAAAATACATTTGGCCAAAATCCCATTTACATTACTCGAGCGGATTTATCGGGTTGTGCCCAAAGCAGCCAAGAAGGCAGAATCCGAAACTGCGATATTTCGGCAATACATTCTGAGCAAGTTGAACATTGCATACTATCTTCGATAGTACTTACAAGTGGAAAAAAGTTTTCTTCTTTAAATGATAGTATTTAGATACGCTTTTCAGCCGAGGAAAATATACCTGAGTAATGCATTTCAATCGTCTGTGCCTGAACCTGCCCTAAATGAGACTGAACGTTATTAAAAATGAATAACACAATATTGTTTCTAACTAAGAACACTGTAAGGTTTGTCCAGTTGATATGCTTTATCAGAAATTACTCACAAATAAAACACTGCCCGGCGCCTGAGCACAGAGACAGCTTAATTAATATTTGAAGCTGGCAATGTTCAACGAAATTGTTTAATAGGTCTTGAATGTAGTACGCAATTTTTGAGATTGAAGTACGTTTTAGGTTTTCAAGGCTAGCCTGTACAATTCGCAGCATTTGCTAACGCGAGACTGTTATACATGCCAGTTGTGTGCGGTCTTCTAGAGTTCTTCAGCCTTCTATTTTACGCGCTTGAACATGACCCGCCTTACGACCAATTGATCCGTAAGAGTGACTCTGCTAACCCACTGTTGATCATAAGATAGGTCAGAAAAAAGCTATTTAAGTTACCTAATATCTAAACAAAACGACGACATCAAAACTTTACAGTGGTTGCACGAAATATATACACATACATGCACTTATCTTGCTTCTGCATCTTCCAATAACGACGACAAATATGTTATGAAGCTCGAAAATAAATACGTAAACAGTTGATAAACATTTTGATATACTCTATTCTGTGCTTACCGGTAAGTACATCAAGGCAGTGCATACGATCACTACCAGAAGCATGCTCTGTCCTCTACGAGCGTGCTTGTTCCATAGGAAACCCACGCTTGATGCAATCAGTGATTAAAGTCGTATCCAGGGTCGCAGATTTCGCACGAATGTACGCGCCACGCACAGCATGTAAACGGCGGCGACCGTCACCGTTTTTTATATGTGCGTTTGTGCCGCTACGGCCACTCCTCTTAAGCGAACGTGTGTAATGGGAGCGAGGAATGTTACTGCTTCTATTGTTCCGCTCGCACTAGCGTTTGTTTTGTCTCTATTTAACCCAATCCATTTTGGTTTTGCTCTGTTCGGAGGTGGCTTGCAGCTCTGTGCCATCCATCGTCACATTCTGTCTTCCTCTTTACCTTGGCGTAATAATAAGGGACGGAAACAGGCAGCCGCAGCAAACGTCTGGCAGCTAGGTGCTACCCGAAACCAGCTGCTACCGTTGCACGACTACCGCTACGAACACTCCGGTTGCCTTCGTGCTGGCTGCTTCTAGCGCCTCTACAATGCTGACAAGGGACAGTGACGCCGCTGCGTCCTCGTCACCGTCATTGTCGCTGTCCCATATACCGCGGTGGTCATTAGCCTTAATTCGACACCCTCCAAGATGTGGGTGAGTGGTGGTGCTTGCTCACGAATACGAAGGGGATACCAAGGGAGCGATACATAGCAGACGACGGAGATAAGGCCCTGGGAAAGAGGGTAGTCGCAGGGTTGTCGTTCCAGGTAAACCTAGCCGAAGCGGCTATCGCGACGGTGGTTGGAGATGCTAGCGAAAAAAGAAACTCTCGCATGTTAGGACAACGCAAGTCCTTTCCTTTTATCTGCATAGTTGCTACTTGTCGGTCTTATCCTCACTCGTCCTCATTCAACAACGCCTGTCTAGCCGACTCAATCATCAGCCGACCCAACCCCATCTATGGCTTGCGGCACGTTTCCTTTATGGACTGTCGTACCCAAAAGTCTGAAAATCCCGGCACGCGTTCCTCTGTTGAGACTTATAGGGGCCTTGCGAACTAAGCGAGATGGAACCATTAGACTGCGTTTGTTTCCGTCGCGTCCTGAAGGATTCCCCGGTGCTGGTGCAACCCCACGGGCGATGACAAAAGCGAAAGACAATGTGAAGGGGTGACGAGGTGAAGCGGTGTGGCAAAGGCTTAGCCTGTTTTTAGCCTCGTAGTGTTCCCACGTCTATTCGTGATGGGACACTGGGGATTTTCTCTGCGTTTGGCAGAAGATGCTTATGCGATGGCTGCGGGCCAGTGAACGGCGACTGTAGGAACAACACTGATTCTCACATGATAATATAAATTTTTTTGAGCAGTGACGCTAACGGTGACACGAGGGTTAAACGCTACCCAATACGTCTGACAAAGTGAAGCCATTTAATTCGTTTCAATTCAGCGGAATAACACGTATTAAACGGAGGAGAGATTTTTGAAGAGCATAGGGAATGAAGACTAACAAAAGCTGTCGAGTAGCCTTCAAAGAAAGTGAAAAAATAAATTTATGAACACATATAAAATGTCTGGAGCGAGAATCTCAAGTTTATAAGAATCAGTATAGCTTTCGGTGTTTGCCGTTAAAAGGCTCCTTTAAGTAGACGACAGTAGGGGAATAATGTATGTAAGTAACTTTCCTATTTATTTTCATGTGTTTTGAATTAAAGTTGAGTCTTTAACAGTGGTTTCTGCTACACATTGCGGATGGATATAGTATTCATTTCAGGCTAGTCAGACGTGGCTGAAGTTAGGTTCGCGGTTGCTGAATTGCATTCTCTAAGCGAGATTTTTACAAATAGGGGGGAAAGGTTGGATTATGCGAAATTTACAAATACATTGCTTTTAACAGCTAGCAACGTCCTATTACGGCAATCTGGGCCTACTCTAGCCTCTCGGCACACGTATTACGTACGTCTAATAGATATATTATTGACCTTTTTAGATCTAATCGCAGTTCGATTCCTGATATCTTTAACTGGCTACTAAGGTAACATAGATGATATATACATGATAGCATTATTAGATTTAAATATATATATACAGTTGTTAGAAGGCAGCAGGTCATTCGGAAGCCTAGAACGTGAATGAGTGAATGGCCGATTTGCCCGCCAGGATTAATTTGCTCCGCGAAATATACAGCACAAAATCTCCCTTCCCACATGTCTGCACTTACGACTCAACTCGTTTAGAGCTTGAAACGGACGACCAGTACGACGTTGTCGTATTCAAAATAATAAGTGGCGGTTATGCGCTCAACTATGCATCCAAATGCACGTTTGTTCCTTCATTTGTTGGAGAAATAAATACTTTTTTGTGAAACGTGACAAAAAGCCAGGTACGACAATGTTCAGGACTTGAAGACAAGCACCGGGTACAGACTTACAAGAGGAGGCGGTCTTGCCTTGTGCGCAAAGAAGGAGCACAGGATTGCATGTAATATTGATCGTCGCCAGAGCTGAGCGGGTAACGCATCTGCCTGCTAACCTTAGATACACGCTGTGGTCTGGATTCGGATCCGGGCATAGATGTACCTCGTTTCGTGCTGAGAACCAGTCATTCGGTGGACTGCCTAACCGCGACGCCGGATGTAATACTCGAAAAATAGGGGTATTATTATAGACCCCACGGAACAAGCAAAAGCGCGTCTATCCTTCTTGGGAGCTCCTCGTTCACCAAAATCAATTACCGGCGGCGATCTACAAATCAGGGGATCAATCTATGCATGATTTTATTAATGTCCCCGAGAAGACGTTTAGAGCACATACCACTGGGAGCGGGAATGATATGTCATTGTTAGAGACTTCATTCGACTTTGGCAGCTGCATACAATCCTGAAAACATCGGAAAATTTGAATTTGGCGCGGTCTCTGTTGAGAATCAAGCCATTAGACAGTAGACTTTTTTCTCTCGATAACCGATTGCTATCGGATGTGTTTACTGTTGAAAATTCCTTCCAAAATGTTCGCTGCCGGGATTCGTAAGTTTGCCTCATGACATTGGACCGTTTTTTTTCGCAGAACTGGAGAATAAGCTCCGTTTGTCCTTCTTTATATAGTGGTGTAGATCTCTCGTGGAAAGTAATTCCAACAGAGTTCCAGTTGTTAAACATCAGGTATAACCATTACATTATTCGTTCTCAAGTCACGTAATCCCGTTCTGGTGACCACAATCGTTCGCCTAGATCGTATAATTTAACGCCTCTAAACATTTGTTTCTAGCTTTTTATAAATCAGTTATTTACGTGAATAACCCACCGACCACTCAAGTCTTGAAAGGGATTGCATGTTTCACTACGGCTACAACTACACTAAATCGTAACTGAAATTTCATCAAATAAACGCAGATATATAAGAAAAATCGAAAATAACACTTATCTAATGTGTCGTTTCAGGTTCCCATTTATCCACTTTATAATTAAGTCAAAATAGATATTAAAAAAAAAATTATATTTGGAATTCAAATGTTTTCCTTCGGTTACCCTATATATACGCAACGCAGCAGCTATGGCATACAAAAGTGCCCGTATAATCGCCATTTACAAATGCGTTTTCATTACTGAAACTGGGCCAATATGGGATGCGACATACGCAGTTTTATAAGCCACGGCACAAACAAGGTTAGCACTTAATAAAACACTTGGTTTCGCTGTTTGTTGATTCTAATAATGGATCGAAGCAAACGTGATCCTGATGCACAGAAGCTTCCATTATCCTATTCGTAGAACTGGGTGACATAAGGCCTAACATGCAATCAGAGCAGGCTCAAAATTTGCTTGATAATGTTTGCCAGTGACACGATCTTATCGGCGCGACGACAGGCAATCTCTACCCTATCGGCTTACGGTAGAAGCAAACGAAATCGTGAAAACTAAATTCTGCTCCTTAATGCAAGCTACACTTTGTAGACGTTTCCGCCTTGTCGACGTTGTTGTGGCTCTTAATTGACCACACGACCCACAGTCAACTCCTCACGCAGTTCAGCTTTCTTAAACTACTTATTTAATACGTTATATTTAATATTGTTTTATAATGTTCTAATATATATAATATTTAATAATAATAATAATATTTAATAAGTTCAGTGATGCATTTTGCATTCAAGAACTAATTTAGGAATTAACACAGCCGAACCGGGTCACTTGGTCCTGCCTCGTGCCCATTATCGTACAGCTGCCGCATGTCATTTATGGCAATGCAGAGTCCTAAAAAGGGTTACTTTTTTCGAATATTTAAACGTTCAACTAGAAGGAATGAAATAGAACCAGCGACTACGAATTGGGTCAGCCTGTTTGAATACATCTTGAATTTGTTCAAGCTTGCTGAAACGATACCTAATCCTATTTATGGTCCTAAAAGTTTCGGTTTCAGGTTTTCATTACTCGAGTGCAACGCACGCCGTATGGTAGAACGCAAGAGCTTAGCCACCGATCGTGTTAAGGGACAGAAGGCTTAAAGAGGCTTCCAAGTCGTGTCAAAACGGCCCACCCTCTTATAACGCCTTTCGAAGCTGACACAACTAACCTAGTCTACTTGCTACTTCGTTCATTAGTTGGATGCCCGATGCCCCAAATATATTGGCTTCACTCTGTCAAACGCCAACTGCGATAACCCGTCCGTCTTAACGTACAGGTAATCGACTTACTAACTCAGCAGCATTTCCATATTGCAAGACGTCCCACGTCTGTCTTTAAAATTGAGCTTGGCATTGTTATCGCCTAGTTTACACTTTAGCGTTTCAAAACTTCTCGTTCCGTGCTTAGAGAAATTATTTGAATTATATTAGCTAGTTGATATGTATATGAATGAATAGCCATTTTCTATAGTCAAATAGATATAATTATGTAATTTGTTATTATTATACTAACCAATAAATTTTTATTGCAGTAGTACCAACCTATAAGCAAGTGATCGAAATAAATTTCACTATTTCCCGAACTATGATATTGGGGCGTAAAGGATTTAATACTACATTTTTATGATAGGTAAACATTCTTGCGTTCTGTTTACTCTATTCCCTTAGACAAATAGGTACGTACGCAAGCGAAGATCAAATTGAAGCTACGTTTGGAATTGACCCTAAAATTCCTCAACGTGCCACGAGGTCACTGTACATACAACAAACTGACATCAAACATGCAGAATTCAAATAGAGCTAAAAGCGCTACACAACGAAGCAAAGATGTGGCAGTCTAGATCATTTACTTTTGCATGGATTTACGGTAAGAAGCTATGATAATAGTAGTCGACCGTAGCAGGAACTTTTCACTTAATGCATATAAAACACGACCGGATTCCGGCCGCAAGCCATTCTGCGCGCAAGTGCATCAGTAAGTTTGTTACCAATAGGCAAAAAAGGCCCCCTAGTTTATATACACAACTATCCCATTATTATACCCTAATCCTAGACAGTTCCCCAAAGCAGTGCTGCAATTCTCGATGTCTTCCCCCTCGTTTTTTCTCGTTATCATGCCTACATTGCTTTTATTAAGTAGTTTGACTTACTGGCGAAGAGAACTTACGACCGCCTAAAGCATATATCCACCACCATCCAGACAAAAGTCTAACAAAAAATTTAAACACACAGTCATCGTTAGCAGCCGTAGCGAAATAGTAAAACTGTTCCTGAGCGGTATTGGCAACGGTTCCTGCAGCGATTTACGACGAAGACCGCTCTATCTATGCGATACGAACACGTACGTGGCCGCCATTATTTCCATGGGCGATAGATGGCTCGTGCGTAGCTATGAATGCAGACGTGATTATTTATCTGAGTGTATTTAACTCTTAGCCTGACGGTATGTCATAAACAATCGTAATTATACAGTTAGCTTTATGATACGCTCCTGCAAAACAGCGTCACGAGTAGAGCGCCTCCAACGCCGTTAAATATTCTAGCTGCTCTCTTTCGTCAAGCCCTGGTCTCGCATACATTTCCTGAGGAAGGCAATGAAGTTCACATGCACCGGTGCTGCTATGAAACAACGTAAGGCCTGTGAGGCGTTTCCATACATTATCTATAGTTCGGGAGAAAAGGCGATAGAGGGCGCGCGAAAGGGGCGTAAAGAGAGTGAAAATGGTGAGCTAACAAGAAAAATAGAGTAACCAACAACTAAAGCAGACGAAGAAAGGCGGGTACCGCCGCCTTTGTCGCTCATAAACACGCTTGAAGGTCGCAGAGTCGCGGGCCATGAGTTAAAAAAAAAATCGAAAGCTGAGCGAGCCAGGCCATCTCGCGCTTAGAATGACACAGGCCGCCAAAATGTTCACTGCTATGTACGCTGCGTAAATGGGAGAGCAAAGAGGGGAAAAGAAAGCATATGCATGTGTGGAGCGTTCATTATGGCTCATTGCACAGACAGCACGAAAGGACCCGTGTCTTCTAATAAAGCAGCGCATGACCTTTTCGAGAAGGAGCTGGAGGAGTAGACTAAGTGGGTCTTCCCTACGCAGTGAGTCCTTTGGGCCTGTCGTAACAAGAACTGTCGTGTTGGCGGTAGTGTTTCGACAGTGCGAAACAGTAGAAGAACACGTAGAGTAGATACAAAATGAGTCAAGAAGCAATATCTTCCAGCCAGCGTGGAATACTGAATGCTGAACATGAAGCATAGCGACGGCACAGTGGGGCAATAATCGTATGCGAGATGACCGTAAAGCTACACCGACTGTTAGCTAACCCTTTATTTTAGCAGTGCTGCACGCAGAGAGAAGTACTATAAAGAAAAATGTAGCTAAATTTACACATACTTTTGGAGGAAGGAAATTTTTTGTTTGGCTGGGCGTGAAATGATGATTGTATTCTGTAGAAATACAGAACTAGATTTGGTACCATTGTGGTTGTACCTGCTTGCTACGTCGCCAATATGAAATGCCTTGTGAAAGCGATTTGAATAAAAAGGATTAACTTCTTTGCAAAAATACGTTTCTGTGACTTGGCAAAAATTGGCCAGGATCTAAATGTTACAAAGACATGCTGCATCTGAAGTGGCATGGTTGGTTAGTATTGCAACAGGTCGATTTTAGTAACTACCCACACAAGATTTCCGCTTCTGTAATAATATATTGCCTGCTCATCGCAAAAGTAGATCAGCAGGGTTGAGTTTGTTCGTGAAGACCATAAGGCAGAGGTTTCATTATGGCGAAGTTGTGGTGTCAATATAAAATAGAATGTGCCCTTTTCAAGAGCCAGAGATTTCGAAGTCGATTAGTTGGGTCTCATAAGAAAGACATCAGAAGAACAAATCATAATAGACCGCTGCCTACTAGTTAGGTAAGTAGTGCATAGAAATATCGAGAAGATCACTCTGTTTACAAACTTATTTATCAGACACGAATCCTGGCCTCTACGACGAATTCTATGAATCAGTTAATAATCTTCATTTCTGATTCGGCTATTGCCTGAAGCTTTTTAGTTTCCTTCTTAATAAATAATATTTCTTAATATACAAATATTTCTTAATAACACATAACATCCAATTAGTTTGAATTAGTACGTTACCTTTGCTGGCTACAGCATTTTGCCATCCCGCTAATTACACTGACAAATGGTCCTTCATTAATTTTGTCATCTTGTTAAACAGATAAACTGTAATAATGAGAGGATAAACGTTTATAACAATTTCTAAAAATGAACCGGTAAATAAACAGTTTTTGAGGTCCACTGCCTTGACACCGGCGAAGATTTTTATCGTAGTACAAGTCACACTTTAATGACGACACCCAAACCTATATAAACAGGCATTTCGCACCATGGATTATAATAGAATCGGCAGCAGTAGCAGCTTAATGCTTGAATTTTTTACGCGCAAACCAATAAAATTGCCGTCTCCACAAATTTGCAAACCTGCAATAAGCACTTCAAACAAGTGTGACCACATCCTGCCCCAGCCCCAATGGAACTGATCCATGAATTGCCTCAAAGTTCATCTAACGCTACGGTTGAGAAAAACCAGGGGCGAAAAAAATGAGAGACGTGTGTCCGTGGAAGATTCTTCTACTTTCTTGCGCGAAATAACAAGTAAGTTTTCGGCCTATTTCAGGACTTTCAGAGCTGGTTATATATAGGCCACTAATGATTCTGCAAAAGAGTCAATCAGAGCGATTTGAACGTTTAAATATTACCCTTGCACTTTTGTTGATTTTTTTTGTAAAAGACAAGCTTTCATAATCAAATAAACAGCATAACTGGACGACATATAGTTAAAATGAATAACTATTTTTGTCAAAGACGGAGTTCCTATTGTAGTTACTTGTTTTATCGATGCCGCTTTCCTACTTGGCCGCACTGAGGCGCATGTAAGTGTATGGTTACCCTTGCGTTTAATGATGTGGCCAGTAGCATGCCTTCGTTGAAGTACAGCTTAACAAACAGAAAACATGGCGAACGTCTATTTAGACCTGCGGACATAAAGAAAAGCATTGTTATACGGTTTCTATGCTCTGCTTCTACTATTAGTTTCATTCCCTTAGGCGTGACCACCTTTAGCAGATCTAGCACTTCAAGAAAGGACGCCCGGTCTACATTCACGGTACTTGAGGAAGTAGCGACCACGTTACAATTTCGAATTATCGAGGAAAGCATTGACCGCTTTCTTGAAGTTCGTTGCGTTCTCAATGGATGTGCTTCCAGGCTGTCGGAAGAAAGACTAATCCTGCACTGTTAGAAAAAACTCCACTGTTTTTTTCTAATCTACACTCCGATTGGCGGCGTCAACTGTATATTACGTTAACACCCGTACAAATTGACCTTATTTTGAACGTGATAGAAACCTGCATGATTTTTTACATTGGCAAATACTTAGCTAATGTAGCCTCTTAAGGTACATTAAACACGCCGAAGGAATGATCGTATAATGAAGCACTGCCGCCAATTGCTTTTTTCACAGCTGTGGGGTGTAGGTGGCCTCACTAAACCCGCTGGCTTTAGCTGGTTTCGTCATTAGAAGAAAGGCTTTTACGCGCCATAACCACAGCTGCTTCTTGCATAGCTTTAGGCTGCACCTGCGCCCTATTCAGATTTTGTTTATCTACACGCTACTCTATATTTACTACCAGGTGGGCGCAACAGCGGTCTTTCAACACTGAGCATGAGATACGACCTTTTTTTGGTCCTCCACTAGTTACGGCGATAACAAGCAATTCCAAAGAGGTGGGTTAACTTAGGTGCATTATCTTGGTTCACAGGAATTAGCGTTGATCAAGGAGTTAAAATTATATGGTGATATGAAATTTGGATATAGTAACTTAATTTGCAAATAAAAGTTTATGATGCCCATAAGAATATAGAGTTTTGGCTACCATTTTAGCTGCTGTGAAGTCACTTTCTTAAATAAATTTAAAAAAAATGAAGCATTTTTGCAAAAAACTGCAGAAATATACGATTTGAAAAAAAAGTTGGTACATTGATTTTTAGCTAAGATAAAATACAGTATTTTAATTCACATAAGTATATAATGCAGTGGTTGACGATACTACCCAGTCGAGGCACCACGTGTTACACATCGGCACCAAAATGCTACATCCAGTATGACGTATAAATAAATATATTCTTTAGGCTAAAATGCTCTCTGGGACAGCCCAGTTCCCGCAATTGTTGAAATATATATATAGGTATATATATATACCCGAAGTAATGCTCAATCTTACCCCGGCCTAAATAACCTAAGGTAGCCTTCTACACATATGACTTCTACGAAATGCTACTTTCAGTCTGTTTTGCGAGACGTGATTGTGGGACGCGTGAAAATATGACCGACAATAAGTTGGCTATTTTTCTTTATCGTTCCACGAAGGCGCCATAATATGCTAAATAAATCCTTTAGCTAGTCCATTGCAGCACTCCTTTAAGTTGGGTCGAAGAAAAATTCACTACAGCAAATTGTGTAAAGTTTCTGATCTGCGTGCTTCTGCACAATTCGGAAGGTTCACTAGCCGTCATTTTTATGACGATGTTTCTTTGCGTGATAAAAATGGAGTGGCCTTCATATGCGCCGTCCTATATGGGCTTTCCCTCGTTCCCATAAATTGGGTCGGGCATTATTTAAATTAAACCCAATCAGCTTCTTCATATCGGATGCTGTTAAGTGCCGTTTGTCAGGTAATATGATTACCCAACCATAGAGGATTGACTTCTGTTAACTGTTACCTGATAACGATTGAAGTCGACAATATTTCAGTTCAGCTAACTTAGTTAAAAAATGAATGATGATGGGTCATATAGCCTGCAGCTGCAGACATAATTTTCCAATTATTACAGTACGATTATCGGCTGTAGCGTCCTTATATAAATCAGGTTTACTTTATACAACCATATATCATCGAGAGTTTCTCGTCCCAGCGAGGGCCTGTTTCGCATTTTATATGTAATATTACTGCTTAGCATTGCTTCAGACAGTTGATTACAGTGTCCTAGACTACCCCACACGTATGCTTGATACCCGTCGGCAAACCTGATGACATCGCAGCGTTGTCCCAATCATTTCTCATTTCGCTAGTAGGACATTTTCCTTCCGAGCATTCATTTTTGGGCCGTCTCCTGTATTCTAATTTGCGAAGAAACAAGGCTGTTGGTACAGCTGGCGTGCATCAGTGTGGTGTATCGTTAGATATCTGGGGGTAAGCCTATTTGAATCTATTCACTTTTCAGTTGAAATGAAATTCTACGGTAGGCCAGCTGGAGTATACAGTATCAATTATTCGTTATTGGATAATACGAATACTAAGAAAATATAGGCTCTCAAATACAATGGTAGGTCTATGAATTTTTAGTTCGAATACAAACACATTAACTGCAAGTCAACTTATTTTTTAAATGTAAAGCATTTTCCCAAAGTATTTCAGTTTCTGATCTAACTTTACGTTTGCCGCTTCTTCTTTACGCTGCAAGGTATCTGTAAGTAGACGCTTAGACGCAATGTGTATTGTGATGCATTGGAGAGATATTCATCGTAAATGCGGATGTCTGTCCTTAAAAGCCTGACGTCAGCACCGGCATCCACACACATACAGAAATTTCACCGAAATTATTAAATAAAGCCAATCAAATAGTCCGACTTCGTTAGCTGGCTGAACGTCAGTTTGAACTTGGCTCGAACTTAAAGGGTGAGCGAAAAATTCGAAGCATTTTAATTGAGTTGAAACCCATTCGTACTATTTAATAGTAACTTGCATACGAAGTTAAACGACTGGCCCCGTCGATCCTAACCACTGACAAACTTCAGGTATATTTGGTTTGAGTTATCATTAAATTGAGATTAATATTTAAGATAATTAAATTAATTAGATATGAATGAATCGCTTTTTTGTTTTCATTTTAAGCAGCTTACAGTTCGCATCGCAACATTATCTATAGCTAACTTGCCATATTGCCGCGATTTTATTCACTCTGATATATGAACACTAAGCTTTTTTCTGTCTTTTTTTCACCGCTGACGTCCAGCTTCCATCTTCTTTGTGCCAGATTGCAATGGCATCGTTGAAGGAGCCTGTTAGGGTAAGAAACTTGCTATCAGCAACTTGAATATTTGTATTTGGCCAGGAGAGGTGTCCTCTCCTGTACAAGTTGTTTGCAGTTTTTTTCATTCGGCTTTTTTTGTTCAGAATGTTGAAGGTTTAGTAGCAGCCTGTTATGCTGCGATATCTTCATCGAAAGGAGCAGCGCTAAATTCGCAAAAAAATTTGCGCTATAGATAATATTGCTTGAGTAACTTGATTCAATTGTTTGAAGATTGCCGACGGCTGACGAGTAAATGGAACGTTCTAGCGATCTTGTGGATAGGTTTTTGTTGCTGTCTACGATCTTTGCTTTCCTAAACATTGGCCTGCAGTCGTGATGTCTAATGCAACTATTGGAAATTGCCCTACCTGTGTTTCCTGAG